TCCAGGCGGGTGCCCCTGCTCAGCCTGTCCCGAGCTGGAAAGAGAGCAGGCGGCGCTGAGAAAGAGCAGAGAGCCTGGGGCCGTGAGCCGCGGCTTAGAGAGGATTCTGGCTGCAGAAAGCCAGACTTATGTCGTCCTACGACCCTGGATCCGAGAGTGCTTTGCCTGGAATCGCAAGGAACACAGCCTCTTTAGTGAGATATATAGCTTCATAATTAGCCCGCTGCATTTTTTCACGAGTGCTAGCATCAGCGTTCTGCGACGTGTTTTTCTGATTAACAGCTGCTTTGCAACTATTTCCTTGTGCCACCGATGACCATATTTGTCAAGGAACTCCTGACAGAGTACTGATTTCTTACTAAAAGGCAGCATTTCTGTTTGAAGAGGGTTCTCATTCTCAGCCATGCCCGCTTTTAAAGCCAGCCCTTGTTAAAACTCAAGTTGGCTTTGGTCTAACGCTTGTTAACAGCATTCTGGGTATCCATCTACTTCAGAGTCTGAGCGGAGGGACCTTTCACAGGCAATTTAATCTTCTGAGCTGTGCTTGTGCCGCCGCGCCGCCTGGGGATGGGGCTTCGGGTCCTCGAACCGGTCATTTTCTTTTGCCCTCTACTTGTGATCTCTCTGGGTTAAAAAGGACTTGACGTTGGTTGTTAGTGTTTTTAATTTTTGAATATTTTTGAATATTTTAAAATGGCTAACGAATGCTCCCATTTTAGGAGATAGGTGTGTGTAGCACATAGGAGCGCCGGAATTGGTGGCGTTCCAAGTAGGTGTCACCGAGATGATGCATCAGGTTTACGTGTCAGGTGCAAAGTGCTCAGGCTCCCTCAAAGCCCAGATTTGTGATTAGGCAGCGCGGCTCTCCCTTGCCCTCCTGCACCAGAAGTGTGCAGCGGGCGGTTTGCTAGGAGAGTGGGACCCACAGGAAGCGTTTCTTCGGTGAGGACCGTCAGGAACCTCGGATCTTCTCACCAGGGATTACTTACCCTACACAATGCATTTAACAGCACATAGTTCATCCTGGATAGCCCCTGAGTATACTGTATTCCATTGATTTATACACTTAGAGGGCCCGGTCTCTCCAACACAAATCTTGCTCAATTGGCCAATCATGTTGGACCCAAAGGTGCTTTTCGACCCGAAGACGCCCCTCTCTCGCCGGGTAGCTGGCAGTTGCTCCAGTGTTAACCATTGGGAAGATGAGGGTGTACTCCTCTTTGCACCTCTGTTTTGCCTCTAGCTTTTCTTGATAAAGCAGTGAAAATGATCAAAGTTCTCCGGGCGTGCGGATGGAGATGATGGCGGCCAGATTGTTTTGTTTTGCTTTTGAGGGGATGGAGGCAGAGGGCAGGGCCACGGGAATAGGGGTGGTGAGAAACTTTGCTTCTCTTTTCTTCTGAGTTCATCGTCTTTCATTTTTATGAGACCAGCTACCAGTAGCTGGAGGGGCACTCACTAAGAACTCTCAGCGCAAGAGGGCCAAGGAGAGCCAGTTCCATATTTGTTGTAGACTCAGCAGCAAGGCGCTCAGCAGCAGCATCAGGTGCTCAGAACCTCCCTGGCTTGCTGAACCCCCACAACCAGCGCCATCAAGTTCCTGTCCCCATTTCACATCTTTGACATTGAGGCAGAAGATTTGGCCCAAATTTGTGTAATTTAGTTGGGCACAGATATAACCCATGAACAGTCACATTCGTCTCCTAATTAGAAAATCAAAGGATCGTGCGGGACAGGCTGCAGGCACCCCTTCATGTCATCCAACAAAGTGGGAGTGTGTGCAGGCGGGCAGGGCGGGAGGAGGAAGGGTTTGGGCCTGAACGAAAAGTGCCCCACAGCCGGTAAGTGGAGGGGCGCTGCAGACCCAGTGCGCACTCGGGTCCTCAGCGCCCTGCGGTCTGTGCATCAACGGGGAAGATTTCGGGGCGTCTCTGGCCACTGCGTGTGAGTCAGAGGGCTTGTCGAAGCCTAGATTGAACAGGCTGTTCCCCACTTCTTCCCCGTTGAGTGCCAGCTCCTCTTGCGGAGGGAGGAAAGAACTGAAGAAATAATGAGTGAAAGGACGAGGAAGATCTCATGTTCACACCAGCGAGTGGCCGCATATCTGGGTATCTTTCTTATTCAGCACATTACGTTGAGGCTGTTAGTTTGGAGGCTTTATATTTTTTGCATCTGGCGTAGTGATATCCTTGCCGTTAAATATGTGATTTGCCTGTCGCCTGCATTTTCAGACAGATCAAGAGGAACATAAACAAGTCCCAAATATACTTTATGTGGGTGTTTGGCAGTATTATTTTATATGGCTTGAAATTAGCGAATGGAAACTTTAAAAGAAATTGTTCATATTTTTGCAAGTTTGAAGTGTGCCGGGACTTTGTCAAATTCCCGTTAAAATAAATACGTCAATTTCATCTCCCTTCCAAATTCATTTATCTTGCTTTTTTAAAAGGTGTTTTCTACTTTACCTGATGTTTAAATTGGATTCGCTCGTTTATGCTGTTCTTTGCTATATCCCCCACGTTTTTCTTAAATGAATTACTAATGACAGAGCACTCCATCATTCCCTCTCCACAGCCACTTTAAGGAAAGCATGGTGATCTAAACCTTTTAACCTATTAAAGATGATTTTTCCCAATTGAATCAGACCCACCACAGGTGTAATAACTAATCATTTAAACTACACCTGCTATTATGTATTTTTAAGCCATTATGCGTGTTGGATAGATGATAATTCATGTTTATTGCATTGTCCGATGGATCCGTTTTGCCTACACTAGGCTGATTAATGTATTTAAAGAAATAAGAGATGCAATTTTTAAAAAAAAATTGATGGAATGCGCCAAGCACTGCATTGAGTGCACCATTAAACCCATCAGAACTTTGCTCTCTGACCAGAAATGCATATACCAAGGACTATATTAAAAAAGCAAGGTGAAACCTGGGCGTTTTAGTGGTGGGATTCTGTTTTCCTTCTCTGTCATGGAAAATTTTGGGAGGATGAGGGAGACGCCGCTGTCTGCGGGCCCCTGAGAGGAAGGAGCTGCGTGCCTGGCATCTGCTGCTCAGACCTGCCCACCCACTGTCCCTCTGACACCTGGGCCGCACGCCTTGGGTGAGGCGCAGTCCTTCTCTCGGGTGCGGAGGTGTAGTTTCTCCCCAGGCGAAGGACGGTGATCACCCCGCCCGCCCCCCAGTGTCCGAGCTGTCCCTTTGGCGCTGGCCGTGACGGTGTGACTGTCCGTCCTCTCCTGAGCTGCCCGCGAGAGTCTTTTGTTTTTTTTTTCTTCCACCACTTCCCTTTTTCGCTTCTCCCCTTTCCCTCTCGCCCCCCTTCTCTCGCGTCTCTGCTGCTTTCTCCTCTTCCCCCCTTCCCTCGCCTGCTTCTCCCCGTTCCTCTTTCTCCCTGCTTTCCTTCCTCTCCCCGCTTTCCCAGCTCTCCATGAAAATGCATCCTTTTGGAGATGCTTGTCAGATTGTTCTTGATTTGGGTGCAGCCCAAGGTGGCCTGGGGGTGAGTTTGTTGTTTTGGGTTCTGGACGCAGCGTTGAGTTTCCCTCGCCCAGAACGCGTTGGTCATCACTGCTGTCGGTGCAGGATGGGTAGGAGGTTCGTAGGGACAGACGATGGCCCGTCTCGAGGCGCGCTGGCGTGCCTCACCCGAGAGGCCCAGTCTGGGGATCTGGGGTGTCCACGTGCCTTGGGTGAGCCCCCGCTGAGGGAGCATCAAAGGAAATGGCCCTGATGTTTCCTCTCTCCTTTCTGTTTTATCCTCGTAGCTTTTGTTACCAGAGAGGCCTGTCAGGTGTCAAGATTAAATTCATGTAGGACATGAAGAGGATGTTTGTCACTCGGGTACCGTGTGCAGTCGTGGTGCGGAGTCTCTGGCTAACTGTGACCTTGGTTTGAAGGATCTTAGCAAACTCCCCTGACTGGCGCGCTCTTAGACATGTTTTCTTTCAACAACTTAGGAGTGATCTGTAGGGCCTGTTGACTTTAGCTGTAACACGAGACTATATTATTCTTTTGGTTTTGTTGGGATGAATAGTGCCAGTCACCGAGACAGCCCCTTTGCTACCGGGGGCAGGTTGGCATTTCCCACCCGCCAGACTAGCGCCCGGATGGAGCACAGGCAGGCGGGTGCAGCCTGGTAGTTGGTGCATGTTGAGTGATGGGAAGCTGGCGCCCTCACCAACTTCCCTCCCGTTCCTCTTTGGCTTGGCCTTAGGTGGGCAGATTTCATTAGATAATATCACTAGACGTAGGTTGATCATCTCACTCTGTCAGCTTTTGGTCATGAAACCCCAAACTTTGTCCTCTGGAGACTCCTCAGAGTTTAGCTCCTCTGCATGCGAGGGCCGTGACTGCGCTGCCGCCCCTTATGTAACCCGGCAGGCTGTGTAGCGGCAGCAGGGGCTCTGCCCCTCAGCTGCTGGCAGTTAGTTGGGGAGGCGGCCTGAGCGTTAGGAGACAGTATAATTATGTCTTCAGTTATGTGGCACACACTGTGCGCATGGAGCATTTCAGAGAGCAGGAGACAGAAATGGCTCGCTTACTGAGGGAAGCCTTCGAGGCATTGTAACAGGCTGTCAGAGGGCCGTGCTGGTGTGTGCAGGGTGTGCGCCATGTTTAGACAGCCAGCGGCGGGAAAGCGCGGCCTTCTAGAAGACAGGCATAGTGTGGACGCAGGTGCGGAGACGCGGATGAGGGTGACCCAGAGGGGCCAGCTCCCAAAGAGGATGAGAAGTCGGCTTGAACAGGGAGGACAGGAGAGGGTATCGCAGGTCCTAAGAGTAAGGCTGCGGGCTGAGACCTGGTAGACTCCGCGGCAGGAAGTAGCGGAGGCAGGACCCGACGCTGGCCCTTCATACAGCTGGGCTGTAAAGTTGACCACGGCGGTGGGCTTATTTCTGTGACCCTGGTGTAAACTTGTAGGCTTCTCTTAACGTGGACACGCCACCTATTGAAGTTTACTTTCTTGCTTGTTTTCTCTCTCCCACCAGATTGCCACAGCAGTGAAGTTTCTCCAGAATTCCCGGGTCCGCCAGAGCCCGCTTGCAACCAGGAGAGCATTCCTTAAGAAGAAAGGTACGGCTTCCTCTGGCCCGAGAGGGCCTGCAGAGTGGGCAGGACGGGCAGAGGGCCACCACCGCCTTGATGACTGGGGTGGGGGGGCTGAGGGGAGCTGCCGAGCTGCCCCCGGGGGCGCCTGGCGAGCCCGTTGCAGCTCGGCTGGGAGAGCCGGCCACCAGGTCTGGGCCCGCGCAGCAGCAGGGCCCGCCGGGTGAGTTCTCTGCTTTCCAGGCCCTCTGAGGATGATGCTGGCTGCGAGTGATGGCTTTAGGTGGGAGGTCAGCCGCCTCAGTAACGAATGAGGAAGGACGGGGTGGGGGGGGGGGGATGAGACGGCTGAACAGGTCAGGTTAGGGTCAAGCTCGGGGTCAGTCTGATTTACGGATTGAAGTGGTAAATTACTGGTTTTATGGTATTTCTGCAAGCAGGGATTAAATGGATCTTGACAAATTCAATATTCTCCAAAGCAGAATCTATTCTGGTACTGTAGAAATTTAAGCTGTTTCTCTATTTTTGTAAAATATGAAAAAGACTCTAAAACAAGAAATCTGGCTTTTCATTCTTAGAACACTTCATTTTCTAGAACTCTAGGAAGTTGTTTATAGGCCCTTACACATGATGAGGGAGGAAGGTTGAGCCCCCCCACCCCCCAATTATTTTTCCTTCAGGAGTGGGAACATCAGCCTGAGAATATTCTGCGTTTTGGAGTCTGCGTCATTTGTGGCTGGAATGGGCATGGGTGGTCTTGTGGGCTCCCCAGGTCTGCTCCATGGTATCCCACCAAAACTGTGTGTCCTGGTGCCCAGGGCTGCCCTGGCGGGGTGTGGGCAGAGCAAGCCGTGCGTGCCACTCACAGGCAGCTGTGTGAGAGCACCTCCAGGCCGGCCCCGTGGCTGGGTTGGTGAGGGGCACTGAGTGCTGGCTGCCGGCCTCCAGCTGGCCCCCCATCAGTAGCAGATTATTAAAATTTGGAGTGCGTTGGCTGGCCTCTCCACTCGCAAGCATCGTGCCATAAAAGAGTTTTTCCTTGAAATATGTGTACCTATGGGGAGTAATTAATCATAAAAGCTTGGGGATTTCAGCTCTCTCATCAAAGCACTGGAGCTGGGGAAAGCTGAGCCTAAAAGCTGTGCTGATTACCCGGGGTAACCTGAGACAAAATCTATGGTTGCCGAGAGATCCTTCGCCCGGCATATTGTGCAATATTATAACCGCCTGATCTTCTCTTCCACTGACAATGACCAGTTATTCCTCATTTTCTCTCAAACGCAGCTGGGTTAGAATTTCATTTGCAGAAGGTATTTAGAGCAATTTAGAGACAAATGTCTCTGGTGTTTGCTCGGCACATCCCCACCGCAGGCTTTGCTGAGCAGTTTTAGTATCAGGAGCTCCATCTAATCTGTTTAATTTTAATAAATCCCTGACTGGGAGAGGAGAGGAGAAGAAAGAGAGAGAGAAACTCTGGACCAAATAATACTTCTTTTGAGTTAGTTGGCTAATAATTGCTGTAGAGCAGAAACTGTTTTTGTGCCATTATTTGTGCTCTTGAAAAAATACCCAGCCCATTCATTCACTCCCATCCGAGCGAGCGTTCACCCCGCGCCGTGCTCTGTGCCGGCCCTGGGGATCGAGTGGAGAGCAGGACGGGCAAAACCCCTGCCCTCGAGGAGCTTATGTTCTCTTGGGGAAGGCAGGCGGTTCACAAAAGTAAAACACGTGCCACGTGGGCTGGAGTGCCATGGAGAAAGGTGAAGCTGTGTGGGGGTGAGGATCCCTGGTATTGGGGTGTCGGCGCGGGGGTGGAGTGCACTTTTGAACAAGCAGGTAGAGCTTGTCTCTCGGAGAGGGTGCCGTGAGAGCCGGGGCCTGCGGGAGATGAGTGGGGGCTGGCGTGAGTGGACTTGTGCCCGGCATATGGGCAGGATGACCCCCACTGTGGGGCAGCGTTTGGGGGAATTTTAGGCAGTGGGTGCCTTGAGAGGCGCGCCCCCTCCGTGCTCTGAAAGAACCACAGGCGTTAACCTCACAGTTAAGCGCGGGAGTCTCTGGACTTAATCACCCATCTCCATTATCCTCTGAAACGCTGCTCAGTCAGTCATTATCCATTTCCGAGTTGAATCCCAACAGGGTGAGTTTTGGCAGGACCTTATCTGGGCAGAGGATTCCAGGGTTTGATCGGCGTCTGGGGAAGCAGAGCCCCTTCGTGGATTTAAACTTCACTTTTGAAATTTCCGGCCGTTCTGCGGGTCCGGTGTGCACCGCCAGCTTGTCTTGGCACTGTCTCTGGTGGGATGAGGCAGGAGGGGCTGGAGCGGAGAAGTGGCATCCACCCATCCCTAAAGCGGTGGGAAGGCAGGCGAGCTGGCTGGCTGGTCTCGGAGCGCGTGGGAGAGGAGGGCCCGGGTGCTGGCACCCTCACGTGCCTCCCGCAGGACGGCGCGGCGGGGCTGGAGCCCGGCTCTTCCTAGCAGATGTCACTTCAGGGAATTGCAGTGCAGCACTGACTTGAATTATAATCTTGACTTTCTTTTTTTTAATAAACATCTCTTTCCTGAAAAGGCAAATCCAATTTTGTTTTTCTTTTAATATTATTTAATATTTAATATAGAAATTGAGGTCCCTGTAGTGCATGTCAGTTCAGTAGAAAATGAGGGTTACTTTAGGCGTATCAGCTGAGTTTGTTTTATTGGGAAACCACAGCCGCGAGCGGGGGCTACGTCCTGCTCTGCTGCTGACAGTTCTATGTCCGGCTGGGGAGACCGGGGCTGGTGGGGGGGGGGGCAGCGGGGAGCGAGGGGAACCCGGACGGAAGGGCATCGGTTTCCAAAGGTCTTTTGTGTTTTGTTGTTGTTTTGAGATGGCTTTTGGATGCTTTAAAGTCTGAATGTGAAGTCATTAATGAGAAACATGAAGTTATTAGAATCATTTATCATTTTCCTTGAAGTTTGTACTGCCTTTTGTGTAATTTACAACATTTCTTTCTTTTACTGGGAATTTTTTAGATGAAAGAGAAAAGCAGCTGCTCACCTTCAGAATACTCAAATAAATGTTTTTGTTTTCCTTCCCGACCGCTTGGTTCTGCAGATGACATGTCAGCTGCAGAGTCAGCCACACATGGAGGTAGCCTGAGCGCGCATGGGGCGTAGCCCACATAGGACTGGTCGCAATGGTAGTGGCCTCAGCTCCGGCAGGCCTCAGATCCGGGCCTGGAGCAGGCTGTGCTTCTGGAGGTCATTGTAACTTTGAAACAGCAGTTCAGTCGTCCAGGAAGTCAGTGGCTCGGACATCACTGTCAGTAGGCCTCTGTTGCCTTGACACCCTCTCCCACCACAGAAGCAGGAGGTGGTTTGCCCAACTTGCATGGCAGGTGGGGTGTAAGGTGGGCACAAGGGAGGCCTGTTTGTGGAGGACCAAGGCCGAGGTGAGGTGGGGCGAGGATGAGTAATCTGTTAGCTTATTCTAAGGGGTCTGTTGCCAGGCAGGCTTCTGAGAAGAAAAAAAGATGAGCATCTTGCGTTTTTCTATATAATCTCGCATGCGAGGCCCGGGTGTGGGCCGACGCCAGGGCCTCTCGTGTCCTTCTCAGGCTATGAGCAGAGGACTGTGTTCTCGGTCTTGTAATAAGCAGGCCAGAGGGCAAGGAAAACTAAACAAAACTCCACCACTCTTTCTGATTCTAAAAGGTGAAACCAGATCTTATCTTTTTCTGTTCCTGGAAGCGGAACCCCCAGTAGCAAAACGGCCTCCTTGCTGGAAATGAACTTGAGGAAGAAACTTGATGGTCTCAACCTTGGTTGTGGGGTCGAGGTGAGGGGCTTCTCTCACTGGAGTATTTTAAGGGGGAGTAAATTCTTATACAGATTTCAATTTAACTCTCTTCTATTACTTTTCTTTTTTATCATTTACGTCCATTTCATGAGGTAGTTTGCATGTCCTTGAATGGAATCTCGTTACCATGAAAGCTTTTTTAGCATTGATTTCATAACAGTCTTAATTTAATAGCTCCGTCATTACTGAGAAGCTCTGGGAGTGGGGCCCTGACTTTCCAGGTCACTGACCTTTTAATTACAAACCTTGTTCTGATGGCCAGGTTATCGACTGGACAGCTCCCAGCTTGTGCCCCCAGGATGAAAACGAAAATAACCGTTTCCTCCCCCATCTCCAGGAAAAAAAAACAAAACTGTAACCTCATGTGTTTCTAAAATTAATTTTCTCCTTCAGCTTTACTTTATAATTAATTCTTTAATGTGGCTTATGAAGCCGGCCATCTTTATGTAACGTGGCTTTTTCTAGATCCTGGGTCCAGCAGATAGCTGGGCCGGCATGGGGGTGAGGAAGGGAAACAGAGACCTTGCCAGCTGCCACCCCAGCTTCACTGTGGCCCATTTCCTCATCCCAGAAGCTCCTGCAGCTGAGCTGGAAGGAGCAGCCTCGGCGCTGCGGGGGGCTGTCTGGCCCTTCTGACTCTTTATTAACGAGACGTGGCTCATGGCTCGAGGTTTAGGTTCATCCCTCTATTCGTTGGAGCGAGGAGCCTGTGCAGCGTGGACATATCTAAAAAACACGCCTGTTCCGAGACCAGACGGGAGCTGGGTGCGTGCCTATTGTGTCTCCGCGCTGTTACGGGCTCTGCTCTGCCCTGAGCGTCAGCGGAGTAGGTTCATCTGGGATGTCTCACTGACAGCGAGGAGGAAAAGGAGGACAGGGCACGGATGGTGAGGAGGGTGGCCATCAGGTCCGCTTTGCCCGGGACCGTACTAGTTTTTTGACACTGGAATCCCTCTGTCCTGGGTAGCCCTGCAGGTCCGGGCGAGCGGGTCACTCCAGCAGCACGGGCCTTACTCAGGGGGACGTGCTACAAAGAGGGACAAAATGGAAATGTGTTGAGGAGCCAAGAAAGAAGGCAAAGTGAGGCGAGCCCGCTGGCCATCCATCCCCCGAGAGACCTGCTGGCAGCAGATGGCTTCTTCCTCAAACCCAGCCTGCTGTTCCTGCCCGGGCCCTGCCCTGGCGTG